CTTAGGAAATTGTACCTTTGAGGAAGGTTTGCCGTCGGCCTGAAACTGATTACAGGTTGCAGCAACTGCATGCCTCCAATGACTCGGCATCCACCGATCAGCAGAAAACTAGCACAGATCCTTCTACAGCAACTGCACCAAGGGTTATAAGTTCACCGACTGAGACAATGCTGAAGCAGCAGAATCCTGATGCATCCAGGACAGCCCCAGTTTCACATGCTAATGTTTCTGTCGCTGCACAAACTACAAATCCAGAATCCAAAAATACTGGGACCATGACTACCAATATAACCAATCCGGTAGCCAGCAATCCTGGAATTTCCCCAAGTGGTGCTGTGTTCGCTAGTAGCATTGCTGTGGGCACTGCTACTGGTGGCTTTGGTCAAAACATGCAGGAAGGAAAGTAGTGGGTTAATCTGATAGCCATGTTATCTTCTTTTGCTGAGTTGTTAACTGAGCTTCAGTTACAAGTTATCTTTTTCATCTCCTTTACAATTTTTGATAAGCAATATTATGGCTATAGTAATCCTTTCAGCTAGCCTCTTACCGGTTATCAGCCATTTTACCCTGGCATCTGGCAACTGAGTTCTGGTTTCTGCTTATAAGGTACCAAGATGAAAGAAATTTTAACAATGAAAATCAGAATCTCCAACCTTAAATTATAATGAGATTGAAAGTAAAGATGCCTTCTTGGCCGTGAAGTAAAGAATTATACATTTGAGTCTCGGACAGGTTTAGCTATGAAACTAACTGGAAGCTTCTATCAGTGAGCCAGTGACCACCAGTTGAATGCTACTTCAATTGTTCCTACAGCCACTTAAGAGTGTTAAAAATTAAAAAGGGCAGGGCAGCCATAGTTAAGCAGCACAACTTGCGAAGACAGATGATCATAAAAATGTGATTATTCTTGACCAATGTGGACAAATTATCTAAATTCTTCAAGTTTAATTGATTAATTAATCCTGTAAGCTTAACAAAATATTGAATTGGGTTTAATATGTCATTGAATTTTTGTCAAAAGAATCGGATTTATATCTCTCTTCAATTAATCATTCCAAAATTTTATAGTAATCAGTGAAAAAACCCTTCCTTGAGACAGTAAGTTTCTAAGTCGAATGCCAATCCTAACTTAAAATAAATAGAGGTAAGGTTAGAACTTTCTCTAATGTATTAAGTAAACAACATTTTGTCTGCACTACTGCTTCTTCTTCCACGCCCCCAAAGTCACAACCACCTTCCCTGCGGACTAGAACACTTCCACGTCCCCTTACTCTTTTCACTCTTATTTTCCTCCTCTATATATATATAGAGAGAGAGAGGCAGAGAGAGAGAAAAGCTAAAACCCAGAAAAACTCAAGCAGAAAGGACAGAGATAGTAAAGGATGCAAGTTTTGAAATCTCAAAGCGTAAAACCCAGACCCATTTCCGAGTTATTAATGAAGGTGGGTTCGGTTCGGTGCTACGTCAGCAGTTGTAGGGCGGTGTTGCTGCCTCGGTTCGGTGGACCTGAGGTGATGGAGCTACGACCCGATGTGCGGTTCTGATCTTAAGTCCAATGAGGTCTTCGTTCGAGCCCGAGCTGTATCTATCAATCCCTCGATACCAGAGTTAGTCCCTTTTTTTCCTTTTTGTTCTCGTCTAATGTAATAGTAAAAGTTCTTTTTATGTGTTTCTTGGATTGAATGGTTTGGTTCCTGAGAAAATGCGAGAAAAATGAAATCGGATAAAGATGAGTTTTATTTTGTTTTAATTTATATTAGTTATATGAGTCAATCTTTTTGATGCATGTGAAGGTTCTTTTTATTGAATTCATTGTTTAATTCGTTTGTATATATGTAATTTGCTTAATTCATTTATGATTTGGTTATTTGGTTGCTAAGAAAAATGTGAGAAGAATTGAAATGAATTTAAAATGTTGGGCGGCGTTGGATTTCTATTCTTTTTTAGTACTAAATTTTTGAGCTGTGGAAATTTGCAACTCTTTAAATTTGATGGAATTAATCTGGGAACTTTTTCCTTTTTACTTTCTTCAAAAGTTGCTCAAAGAGTAAAATTAAGTAGGAAAAAGCAAATACTTTGAATTACATTTCGATTCATGCACCTAAAACAATATAGCTTTAATTTCCCAAATTTCTGTTTTCTCAGATGCGATCAGGCTATGGTCGTTCCATATTTGAACCGCTTCTGCCTCTCATTTTGGGCCGTGACATTAGTGGTGAAGTTGCAGCTATTGGAGCTTCAGTGAGGTCACTGACCATAGGGCAGGAAGTTTTTGGTGCTCTGCATCCAACTGCTGTGAGGGGCACATATGCTGAATATGCAATTCTTTCAGAAGAGGAGCTTTCTCCAAAACCAGCATCAGTTTCTCATGTGGTATCTATTCATGTTTTGGTCATCCTTTAGGTTAACAAATATATGTTACTTTTGATTGTTTTTCTTGGAGAATAGATTTATGTGACCTATGATTATATCTTTTTCATTTGTTCTACTTAGCTCTTCGTGAATGATAATACATTCTGCTCTTTACTTGTTTGTTTCTTTTTCCATTCTCACAATTTTTTTTATCATCAATTAGTCTAATTTGTGGCTCCCTAGCTTCCCTTTTGACTATGTTTAATTTCATAATTCAGATAATATTGTTTAATTTCACCTTTTTACTTTTTAATCATGTAACATGCATCTGAGAATTTTTTTTTTTGGGTGTTGTAGGAAGCAAGTGCCATTCCTTTTGCTGCATTGACTGCATGGCGTGCCTTAAAAAGTACTGCTAGGATAACTGAAGGGTACGCTTGTGTCTCTGGAATGTCGATTGTGTTCAACAATGTTTTAATGTATTTCTTACATTGTGACAAATTATTGTCAAATACTTTTAGCTACATTGATAGTGTTTAAGTAACCATAAGGTTTTTTGCCTGCATTCATGGAATTGTACGATCATCTCTAAGGTACATAATTTTCATCAATGTAGATCAGTCTGTTTAAAGGGCTTTATTGAGTCTGGCGAATGGCAATCTAAATTTATTGTCCTGCAAATATTCTTCAATATTGTTGATGCTCTATGTCTTTGGCTTAAACTTATTTTGTTTAATTTTGTCTATCTATTGATTTTTGTCCAAAGATGAATCTCTTTTATATGCACAAATAAGAGTAACTAATAGTGATATTGATGAAGTATGTCATCTTATTTCTGAAAAATGTCATTTTGATTGAGGGTACAGCAATACAATCTGCCAACTGAAATTTACCATTAATTTTCTTGGAAATTGATGCAATTGATCTTCCCATGATTGAATACTTATTCAACAGGCAAAGGCTGTTAGTAGTAGGTGGTGGAGGAGCAGTGGGTTTTGCTGCAATTCAGCTGGCGGTAGCTGCAGGGTGCCATGTTACAACTACCTGTGGAAATCAAAGTATAAATCGAGTAATGGCAGCTGGCGCTGAGCAGGCTGTTGACTACACTGCTGAGGTGGTGAATCGATGATTTATTAAATTATTAATTCCTTTTATCCCATTATGCCAGCTGTTCGCAGTGATATGCCTTATAGTGATTACTTATTTGAGTTAATGACATGTTTACTTATAGGACATTGAAGTGGTAATTAAGGGAAAATTTGATGCTGTTCTGGACACCATTGGTGTACCAGAGACAGAAAGAATAAGCATCAATCTTTTGAATAGAGGCGGACACTATATGACACTTCAGGTAAGAGGTGGGCTTGTAGTAATTGTTGCTCTTAGAAGGGAACTTCCTTCTCTTCTCTTTAAAGACCTTGTCTGGTTCAATGTTTTGGGTACATAATAGGAGTTAGGACTCTTTCAACCCTTGGGTTTTGTCTGGAATTTTATCCTGGCCTGATGCAAATTCTTAAGGAACTTAACTTTGCTAGCTGGGAACCTGCATAGGGAATTTTAAATGCATATTTTATGAAAGTTGTGGTGTAATTATTGAATGTTTAGTTGTCAATTACTTTATTGTATAGGGAGAGGCAGCGGCTCTGAGTGACAGGTATGGACTACCAATTGGGCTTCCCATGGCTACAGCTGTTTTAGTGAAGAAAAGGATTCAATACCAATATTCTCATGGAGTAGGTACATGGATTATTTCTCATCTTACTCTCTATAAACATATCGTTTATTGAAAGTGAACAGTTCTTCTGTCGTTTCTCTGGTTAAAAGCTATACAAGATAGGGCCTAAGAAGGAATAATATGAGCATGTGTGAACATTTTCAGATTGTTACTATCTCGTTAGTTAGTTACCATTTTGTTGAGCTTTGCTGATATATTATGTATGTGTAGCACACATACATAATAACAAGTCTGAAAGGATAGTAACAAGTCTGTCATCTATATTTCCATAAAAGATTTATCTGAGTCTCTAATTTTATGGATTACTGCATCATCAATTTTTTTCTCCTGTATACTAGCTTGTTCAATCATTATAATCATGAATGTTCATGAAAGACTTTTTTCTGGCTATATTTTTTTCTTTTTTCAACATTTTTGTTCTTGTGTGTGTTATAGTTTGAAGTTTTCAATAAATTTATGCTGTGAAATGTTATGGTTCAGAAGATGAATTAATGTCCCATCATGTTAACAATAGTTGCTGAATCTTTTGATCACTAGATCATTCCCTAATCTTTTGGTGCTGCAGAATATTCATGGATATACATGAGGGCTGACTTAGAAGGTTTACATGAGATACGAAGATTATCAGAAGCTGGGAAGCTGAATATACCTGTAGAAAAAACATTTTCAATAACTCAAGTAAGAGAGGCTCATGAAGCTAAAGACAAGAAGAAAATCCTTGGTAAAGTAGTGCTGGAACTTGACTGAAGTAAGTTCTACAAACTTCCTTGCAATTTTTTGTAAATTGTTCTTTCAACATAAATTTGGAAGGTAGGAAATGGTTTTCTTGGCTTATCCCCTCTATACTAGGATGTTGTACATAATGTGGGAATTTTACGGGTGTGGGCCTTCATCATCCTGTTGGAATCTGTAAATCCTTGAGCATAATTTTTTTTCCCCTTCATTTTACTGAAATTTTATAGTTGTTGAGCATTTTGAATCAGAATATGAAATTCATTTGAAATTGGTACTTAGATTGAACCATCTATAACTGTTATCTTGCCCATGTTTTAAGTACGAGAAAAGGTAGAAAACTTTTCTATCAATCAATTGGTCATCCCATATTCTATAAACCTAGAATTTCTGTCAAATTAAGATTATACATTCAAAGCTTTGGAAAGAAAAGAATGGGGTGACCCAATCAGGGAACTTAAAACCACTATATTGATGCAAACTGACCCATATATACCTATGACTCAGTGTGTTGCTGAATTTGAAGTAATCTAGAAAGCTTCTTTCTCTTGGAAAGTGCCTCTTTATCTGTTGCAGCTTTTGCCTCAAGGGCTCCACCTCTTTCTCCAAATATGAGCTTTTTTGAGTCAGTGCCTGGCAGAAATATAATCACTGATCAAAAGGTTATGGAGACAATTCCTTTCCAATGTAACAAGAAGATGACGTTGGTCTAGAAATACAGCCATGGAAGAAAAGTTTGAGGAAAAGAGAAACAGGGAAAAAAACAAAGAAATGAGATTAAATGACTAGCGACAAGATTATTCCCCAGAGTTAAGGAGTTGTGACTTGACCTGTTACCTCTATTTCATAGATTATAGCTGCTCCAGCAACCTGTTTGTGTTTATGATCAACTGTATGATATCATCCTTGTTTTTGTTAGATTTTGCAGTTTGGGTTTCAAGGGAAAATGCTACTGTAAATAAGTTTGCAATCATTTCATTTCAATCATATATGTAGGAGCACATGTAATGGGTGAAGACCACCACCTTTCTAACGCCTATGAAAGCCAACCAAGGCTAAGATAGATGATTCGTAGTTTACATATTAACCCTCAAATGGTCATGAATCATGAGATCCAGTCCAATCACCTATAGCCCTAACAAGCCCAAGCCATACATCCTAACCCCCTACCCCCAACTTAGCCAACTCCAAGCCAGTGGTCCAAGCTTGGACCACCTAATCTTGAACCATATGCAAAACAGATTGACTTGCCTCACCACCTAACATGGCAAAATCTCATGGTTTTGGATCAAAATCCTCTCTCCCCTCACTTTCTTATGTGACATTACAGTTGGCTTAACCTGAATTTTGGGCTTGATTTAGAATGCCAAATCATATACTTTAATCCTTTCTTTCTTTTTTAAACCTTAACCTCTGAACTTTCAATGCTTCCTTTGTCTGTTCTTGTGTAAACTATTTGGTCAAAACCCACAACCCTTTTTCAATCGAAAACCCTTGACCCACTCATTATTTCCTTCATCATTTCCAACTTTCAAGTTTGGGTGCCTGCTGGCAAGCCTGGCTTACCAAATAAATTAAGCCAAAACGACATGTGGGTAAGCAACTAGGCTAAAGCTTGACAGTGAGCTAGGTTGGCATGGCGAGTAACGATTGGCTATATGGTTTAGAAACTAGGTGGTCCTTCCCACACCAAATAAGGGAGATCGTAACAAAGGTTAATTAAACTCACGCGCTGTTTAAGTGTGATTCTCAATGTAATGCTGGGGGAGGCTGTACTCTCTGCCATGACGACCAGACCTTGGCTCTTTGATTCTTTCAACTGCACCCACAACTTCTTCTGTTTCTGTTTTTTCCCGCGCTGCCAATCATCTCAAAGCTGATTAAGGTACGGGGTTGAAGGAAGTTGAGTACAAACGACAGAAAGGGCGAGTGGGGGTTTGGAACTTTTGTACATGAACTGGTTTAAATGCATTGCATTGCATTACCATAATCATCACCTCTATCTCTCGAAGTCCGGTCACGTGCACGCCCCTTCGGATTCTCTTCTGTTTTCACCTCGTCTTTATCTCCTTCCCCTTCCTTCCCCCCCATGTGCTTCTCCTCTATGAAGCCCCAGTTTCCCCCACGTATTTTCCACTATTGCCACTTTTCTTGTCCTTATTCTTGCCCACCGCCAAAAACGTACTTTTCTCCCCCGTGTTGTGTTGGCTTTACTTGGGCTTGGAAAAAGAAACACAAGGCACACGGATGGTGATTGATATTCCCAAGACACTTCCTCTCCCTTCCCCCCCGCCTTCTGCTGCACCCACCCACCCCCCCGCCCCCATATCTCCTTTGTCAATCATCGTCTCGTTTCTATTGTCTTACTACTTACAGATGACCTGGCCACGCTTATGATGGTGCATTTCATGACATGGTATTGGTAGGGGATGATGCCCCCCTTCCCCTTAGGGTAACATGGTCCAACTTTCATTCATTTTTATCTCAAATGAGGTGTTTTGTTAGGTTTTTAGGGTTGGAGAAGGAAAAGATCACGAGGTCATAATGTCACTTGTCTCAAAATTCTCTTAATTACACTTGAACATTTGTTTCAATAAGTATGTTTTTGGATCGAGAGGATTAACATGATTATTCGTATTTGTATGGTAGCATGTTGTATGCATAATAGGGTATCATCCATCTATAATGCCATGAGCAACAAGACAAGCACTTATAACCATCCATCTCTTTCTTAAATTGCAAGTATAAATACTTTAGGGCTTTGTTGCATAATTGAACCATTATTGAAAATTCAATATATTGAAGATTGATACTATGGTTGCGGTTAAGCAGTCTTTTTTCCTCTAGAAGAGGGGTATGGGTCTAATCCTAGCAACCAAAACCATTCGCATGGCTTGTAGTTGAATGGGGCAAACATGTTTCAATTTGGGGATAAGATCAACTTTTATCTCAAATTAACCTTAATTAATCTCCATAAGTATTCAAAGGGTCCACATGTATATACCTGTCCTATCAAAGAAGAGAGCTAATACGAATATTTCAATAGTTGTACAAATAACAACAAATAAAGTATATTTATTACATTATCGATGTATAATTTTTATGATTGAGTGATATTATATAAAAATGACATATTATTAATGTATTAAATATAAAAATTTTAATATAGTTAGTGTGTAATCATACTATCGAATCAAAATATCAAAGGCAATAGTTTTAACTTCACTTTCCCCATCGTTTTTACCTGTAAAAGAAAAAGAATTGACCAACTTGAGCTAACTTTTACGTGTCAAGACACAACCAAACTTTGCTGAGACTTCACTCTCAGCCCACCAGGGGGAGGGTTTCCTGGTTCACTTCTAATGACCCAAAAGAACCAGTGTCCCTCTTGATTTTCCTAGAAACCTCAAGGCTAAAATAGTCATTTTAATCAGCCCCATCAGAGAGAGAGAGAGAGAGAGAAAGGGGAAACATACTACCACCCGTGCCCCATGGGAACCAGGAAGAGAGAAGGAAAGAAAAGCCTTGCACTTTTGCTAAAGACAAAACAGCATTTCGTCAGCTTCCATTAAACCCTCTGTTCCTTTCTTTTCTTAATTTCATTGCATTTCCTTTGCTTTCTTCTTCTTCTTCTGTCTCTCTCTCTCACTTCCATTAATCTTTTATCTGTATATCTCTGCAGCCCACCACCTTGGAATCAAACAAGCAAGAGCTCATTATTTCTTATGTTCTTTCATTGACTATTTTACAACAAAAATCTCTCAATATCTTAACTTTTTTTTTGTTGGTTTGTTCTTCTTTCTGTTGATATGGTCTTAGCACAGTAGACCCAAAAAAGAAGAAAAATAATGGATCCGGAGAGGCCCCATCGAAGTACTAGCATCAACAACAGCAGCAGTAGCAGTAACACAACAAGCACCACGAGCGAGCTCTTCATTTGTTTCACTTCACGCCTTTCTTCTTCCTCAATGAAACTCTCTTCAAAATCCATCCTTAGTCCTGGTCGCACTAGGGAATCTTCACAAATCTCTCTTTCTTCATCCCTTAGTAGGAGATTGAAAAGTAATGGTAGCATGAAAGGTGGTCAAGCTTCACCAATGTTCCCTGCAAATGGCAAAAAAAGAGGCTGTGCCTTTGAAAACCCTGAGCCTTCTTCCCCTAAGGTTACTTGTATAGGCCAAGTTAGAGTCAAGACCAAGAAACAGGGCAAAAAGTTTAAAGCTTGCAGATCTAAAAGAAGAGGGGAAGTAAGTTTCAGGAAAGTCGATCATAACAACGTCAACAATGGAAGCAACAGTCTTGATACAAGTAGCTGCCAGGATTACAACATGGGTCATTTTCTGAGCAATAATAATCATCATCACCAGCAACAACAGCAACAAGAATGCAAGAAATGGGTGCATTTGCCATTGACTATTTGTGAAGCATTGAGGGCATTTGGGGCTGAGTTTAACTGCTTTTTACCTTGCAGGTCTTCTTGTATGGCTAACCAAAGGGATAAAGAAGAGAAAACAGGAGGATCTGGTGGAAGTAATGGGAACGGAAATGGGAGTTCTTGTGGGGCTGTGTTTGCTAGGTGGCTTGTGGCAGTGCAAGAAGGGGAAGGGAAAGAGAGGGAGATTGAGTTGGTTGTTGGTGGGGAAGATGATGAGAGGAGGGAAAGTAGTGAGATGATGAGAAGTAGTCAAAGGAGGCATGTTTTCGAGGATATCGAAATAAATGATTGTGGTAATGAAAATGTGGGTGATGAAGAAGCTAGGGTGAGTATTTGCATACCACCAAAGAATGCTTTGTTGTTGATGAGGTGTAGATCTGATCCTGTTAAAATGGCGGCTCTCGCTAATAAGTTTTGGGAGACTCCAGTGCCTAAAGATGATGAAGAAGAAGAAGAAGAAGAAGAAGAAGAAGAGGAAGAGGAAGGAGCTGAAAATAAAAGCAAAGAGAAAGAGGAAGAGGAAGAGAGCCAAAAGGATGTTGTGGAAGGGGAAAGAGAAGGAAGGCGAGTAAAATTTGAGCAAGAAATGGAACATCAAGAAGTGAGTGAAGTTAGTGAAATGTTTGTTTCTTGTGAAGCAACTGAAGAACAAGAAATCCCAGAAGCTGAAGCTGAAACAGAGGCAGAGTCTGTTTTTGTTGGGGATGAAGCTGAACTAGTAGAAGAAACTCTGGAAAGAAGCTTAAAAGAGGAAACAATTATAGAATGTCAGATCAAGAACAAGAAAGTGAAGTAGAAGAAGAAGAGCTGCAAGCATCAACAACAAATGAAGAATTTTTATCAGAAGTTCCATTAGATCTTGAGAAGCTACAAAGGGAAGAAAATGTACAAGAAAGTGATCGAGAAAATGAAGATGGCCTCGGGATGAGCAACAACAAGAAGAAGAAGCAGAAGCTGAAGAGGAAAATGTTTTGGGTAAAGTAGAGAAAGAGTGTGAAGAAATGAGAACGAAGAAGGAGAGAAGTGGAAGATCAAGCTATAGCTGAAGAAGAAGAAGAAGAAGAAGAAGAAGAAGAGAGTTCAACAGTAGAGGAGAAAGAGGCTGAGACAACCCAAGAAAGATCCGAACATCAATGCCTGGAAGCCCGGGAACCCGACACCGGAGATGAGTCAAGGAGAGTGAAAGTCAACAGAATTTATTGCCAGATTGTTTACTGTTAATGATGTGTGAGCCAAAGCTGTCAATGGAGGTATCGAAGGAGACTTGGGTATGTAGCACGGATTTCATCAGGTGGGTACCAGAGAAGAAAAAGCAGCCAGCGGTCAAACAAAAGGACGGCGGAGATGAGCCCAAAAGAAGACTCAGCATTGACTCTAAACCGGCTCCATGTTGTTACAGCCGCCTAGGTCTTCCTGCTCTTTCCCGGCTGCTCCACCAATGGCCAAGGCGGCTAATGGAGCTGGCGGTGGCGGCGGCGGCTCCATGGCTACCATGATTGAGCAGAAGCTTGTGGGGGTAGCAAAGGGTATGAGCCGTTTTTGCTCACGCGCTGCAAATCGGAGCCGATGAGGTCATCGGCCAAGCTTGCCCGGATGCTTGCTTTTGGAAGAACAGGAAGCTCGAGCCGGCTACACTTGGAGTTGGCGCCGCTGGAGTTGGTTTTTGATGACAAGGTTAAAAAAAAAAAACCATGGTAATTGGTAAGTTGTATGAGTAAATGTTGTAGTTTTGATCCTTCTAGACAGTAAAAAATCTTTGGGGTTTGCTTTCTTTCCTGCTCTGGCTTTGCTCTGTACATCAATTTTTACTTGAAGCAATTCTTTTTGTTTTCACCCCTATTTTAGGCACAGCAAAACTGTAAAAGCTGTAAAACAGTGGATTTGCTCTTTGAGCTTTCCTTTTCAAGGGTAGCACAGTAAAAAAAAAAAAAGGGGTGTGATTTTGATTATGGATCATATTCTGTGGATGATGAAATTATTGAGAAGCTGACGATGATGGATGAAAAAATTGCATGTTACCTGTGGGCTGGCAAAGGGTCCACCAATTTTCAATTCTGAGCCGTTAGATTGGCTTTGATGGGTGGGACAATGAAAGCAATGGCCAGGCAAATGATTTGATGGGAAGGAAGAATTATTAAAGCTTTTGATGGTTTGGTCTGAGGGATGTTTTCAAATCAATGTCTCTAAACAAAGGGGTTGGAGGGAAGATGTTGTCAAACTTATGGTCCTTCAAGGTCCCCCATTTGGTCAAATTTTTGTGGATAAGAGACTTGAGAACAAGTCACATGAGTTGTTTGAGCCTAACTTTGATGTGGATGTTAGGTTAATTGTCATGTTACTTATAAAGTGGTATGTGAGCCAGTGCAAATCGAAAGTGGTAGTAGAGTGGTCTTGTTATGATTTTCTAATCACTTTTCATGTACAATTTTAAATTTATCATATTTTAAAATATTTATGTGATGTGATGACTATTTATTAGTTTTGATTAATTTTTATAATATGTACATGATGTTAGTCCTTAGATTGGATAGATATTTTTTTGGTATGAAGGAGAAAACATTATTTCTCGAACTTAAGATTTTTACTCGAACCTGACTATGTAACTTGAATTAGGTCAATGGATGAATGTATTTTGAATCCATTTTTCCACCTCTATCAGGGGTTAGGGGTTGGAGTAAACTTGGTTATGAAGGCAACTAGGATATGGCTTGTGCCTTCACCTTGCTTGGGACATAATTCCTTATCATGGCAGCTAGGAAAAATTACTAGAGTTTTTTCACCTCAGGAAGGACATGATTTCCTATCATGAACTCCAACAGATCAAATAATTGTCCTGGGCAATGAATTATGGTTGAGTAACCTTTGCTTAGTTTCAAAAAGTAAGGTATTCACATGCCAATCATGGCAGGCTATGTCATCATCAAGTTTCAAGACAACAAGAAAATTAGTGCTCCATCCTTTTCTTCTTTCTAACAGAGATTTCAGCCTTTGTTCCAGGGCCAGAGTTTTTACTTCCACCATGGGCTCTCTACTTTATATCTTATTATTCTTTTTAAGGTGAGGACAAGGACAAAGTTTAAAAAAAAGAAAACCAAAAAGAAGTTAAAAGTGGGAGTTGTACACCTGCCTAGGTGGGATTGTAAGGGTTGTTTTATTATGCAGTTTCTATTGGCCTTATTGCATGTTTGCAGTTGGGCAGAAGACATTGTAGCCACTAAAAGATTCACCTTGAAAAAGAAAAAATCTCCCATTGCTGGCTTCTTAAGCCTTTGTGAAGGCCTTTCTTCTTCCTTATTATCTGTTCCTGCCCTACCTTCTTGCCAAAACATTTGGTTAATATAGCAACAAGACAGGATCGGATAGGGAATTGAAGACCCACTTTAAAGAATTGATACCCTATGATTAATGCATCAAAGCTTTGACATGAAAAGCAGCCTAAAAAAGATTAGAAAATCCTCAAAGCCAAAAAGCCTATGGAGGGCCATTCATAGTGAAACAAGGCTTTCTCTTGACTATGATTCTCTTTTGTTCTGAAATTGAGCCTCTGAGTGGGGTCTTAGTGTGCATCCAACTTAATGTTGTTTCAACTTTAAGCCCCAAACAAAGGAGCCAAAACATGGAAAAGATGCTAAACATTGTAAGACTTCGTGTCTGAGATTTTGTTTGTGGAGTTTGCTTTTGAATCATGGAGTTATTACTCTTTCCTTTTTGTCTTACTTTTCATCATGTCATGAACCCTAACATGCATACTTTTTAAGTGATTGATTTCCACCTATATATGTCCAAACCATGTGAAGCTCTAGTTAGAGTTAGAGATTAGGCGTTAGGGACTTACATACAAAATCTAAATCTAGGAAACTAGGCCATGACACTTTTTTTTATATACTTAAAAGTGAAAATGTAAATCTAACTTTTTCTTTGTTTTCAGTATATATGATGTTGAGTTATATACCAGGTGATAATCCTCTTTTTATCTCTAGATTTGAATACGAAATTCTTAGATGAATTAAATTCTATTTTTTATGTCAGACATGCCATTTTACTCAAATCTTCTGTTATAATCTTAATATCTTTTTATCTCATAAAGTTGATGTGCATGTCAAAGATTTATACACTTATCACATCTCTTATTAATATAAGATATATGACATTCTATTCAATTCAACTATAAAATGTGTTATTTATAGTGAGTTTTTATTTATAAAGGAGAGAGATTCACTTTTTTTTGGATCAATCTTAATCTTAATATCTATTATGGAGATCTCAAATCAATAAAAAATTGAGTAAACTCTAATACCGTTTGTTATGAATTCATACTTTACAAGTGAAAAAAACCCTTATTTATACTTATAAGCTCAAGATCCATGACATTTGCCTGAAACTCCAGGAGAAGGTAGACACCCAGTCTCGAAACCTAAGAGATGGCTTCTTGAGTGTTGGCTCGTGCAGGTTTAAGGGTACCTTGGGGGCTTGCTGCAGAGCAGCGACTTGCTCCCTTGTGGTGCAATGATAACAAACGAGCCTCTAGATAAGCTGATCCACGCAAGCTTGCTAGGCGTTACACCTAATCCAACAGTATACCGTCTGCTTCTTATCTCTTCATTAAGGAAAATCAAGTCATGAATTTGAGTTGTCTTGGTTTTTGAATTTTCTTGTTTGGGTTCTTTGCAGTCCTCCAATAATGATTTGATTGCCAACTTTGGACTTAAAAGAGTGAAGTGATGGTTATCTAGATAAGATGATAAAGAGCTCAAAAGAGACTAAAACACTGATTTCTGCAGCCACCGAGCCAAATTCCTTTCAAATTCTTGACCAGCTCATTGCAGTTTACCTAAAAAGCAGACCAGTTCATCATTAACTGTAATTATAGATAAATCAACAGCCTCAAGGTCAATAACTGTCATGTCTAGTCTCTAAAACGTTTTGATCGGTTGAGTTAAAAATCGGCTGAAAAAGTCTACAATGAGCAACTTGTTGAAGCAAAATCAGAGAGAGTTGGAACTCCGAAGTTTTGACCATGGTATTGTATTTGGACAAAGCAATTCTTACCCAATAGTAACTCCGTTCTGCTGCATAAGCTAACACATAAGGGCACCTGAAAATTGCATCATCATATTACACATATATATTACATTTCTCAGTGCTTAAATATTCACTACGCTACACTCTTCAAAATTCGTCATCATCAATCATATAACAGTAGAGATGAGACAGCAAGAAATCAGGGAAGAAAACAGCAACTTAGAAGAAATTCTGTCCCAGGCAAGGCCAATGAAAAAACATATTATGAAAGAACAAGAAATAAAGGAGGAAAAAAAGTCGGTGCATACCCAAAATGCCTACTCAATCTATAGAGAGGAAGAAGTAGACAGCAAATTTTTGCTACTCCCTGCTTCTACCTCAGTATCAAAGAAGTCCTGAAGTGCAATCATGTTGATAGTGCACGACTTCAAGCTCCTTATTGCCTCTGCACTTGCCAAGGCTCCATCAACAGTTGTTATTATAGGAACCTTGTAAGCAAGAGCCATTCTTCTCAATCGCCGACCATCAATCTGATCAAGTGCATCACCAGAGCTTGTGATCAGCATCAACTGGATCTGCCCATTCGCAATCATATCACCAGCATGTGGCCGCCCCTCATGCATTTTCAGCACTCGTTCCACTGGGATACCTTTTAGTTCGAGAAAGTGAGCTGTCCCAGATGTTGAAACAATCCGGAACCCCAGGCCTAAGAAAGCTTTTGCGATTCTTTCAAGATAGGGCTTTGTCAAGTCATTTAAGCTGAGGAAAACAGTGCCAGACAGCGGTAGTTTCTGCCCAGCAGCAATCTGAGCTTTGGCAAATGCTATTGCAAACTCAAAATCAATGCCCATCACCTCACCAGTGCTTTTCATTTCAGGTCCTAACAACACATCACAACCTTGGAACTTCTCAAATGGAAGAACAGCTTCCTTAACTGACACATGTTTTGGTGTCACCTCTTTTGTGAAACCTAAATCATTAAGCGACTTTCCCGACATAACAAGAGCAGCATATTTAGCCAATGGGTGCCCAATTGCCTTGGAAACAAATGGTACAGTACGAGAAGCACGAGGATTTGCCTCAAGTAAGAAAACATCACCAGATGCTGTGATTGCATACTGACAGTTCATGAGCCCACACACATTTAGCCTCTTAGCCAATTTGGTAGTCCATGACCTTATAGTATCTAAGCAAGCAGATGGGATAGTTTGTGTGGGAATTGAACAGGCAGAGTCACCAGAGTGGACCCCAGCCTGTTCAATGTGCTCCATTATCCCCCCAATCACCACATTACCATGCAAATCAGCAAGTGCATCTACATCAATCTCAATTGCATCAGATAAATACTTGTCAATCAGTACAGGCCGTTCTGGATCCACCTCAACAGCATTCTCTAGATATGTCACGAGCTTGTCATCACTATATACGATCTCCATTGCTCGGCCACCCAACACATACGAAGGCCTAACGACAACTGGGTAACCTATATCTGTGGCAATGGCAAGAGCATCACCTTCACTCTTGGCAATCCCTCCTTTTGGCTGTTCAATCTTTAACTCATTAAGGATGGCATTGAACCTCTCTCTGTCCTCAGCTGCATCAATGGAATCTGGTGATGTACCCCAAATGCGTACATGCCTAACCCCACTGGCACATAAAGGCTGGTGCTCATCTAAGTAATGCTGAATGGGCAGAGCCAGCTTAAGGGGTGTTTGACCTCCAAATTGGACAATGATGCCATCAGGTCTTTCTAAATCAATAACATTAAGAACATCTTCAACTGTTAGGGGTTCAAAGTAAAGACGATCACTAGTATCATAATCCGTGGACACAGTTTCAGGATTTGAATTCATCATGATTGTCTCAAATCCAGCTTTCTACAGGGGGGAAAAATGCAACAAAAAATGAAGAAGAGAGAAGACAGAAAAAAATCAGCAAATTTATACCAAAAGGGTGAAAATGACATATAAAAGCAGCTTGCATAATTGAATTTATGGAAGCATAAACAGGAAGCAGATAATACAAACCTGAAGGGCAAAAGATGTATGGCAACAGCAATAGTCAAACTCAATCCCCTGACCAATACGATTTGGTCCTCCACCCAAAATCAAAACCTTCTTCTTTTCAGTAGGAGCTGATTCACACTCAAAATCATAAGAGGAGTACATATAAGGAGTATTGGCCTCAAACTCTGCAGCACAAGTATCTACCCTTTTATATGCTGGAGTAATTCCCAATGATATTCGCTTTGCTCGGACTTCTTTCTCTGATGACTTCGTTGCAAAGGCTATTTGCTTATCACTGAAGCCTCTCTTCTTGACTTCATAAAATTCATCCTTTGTCAGATCAGACAAACTACGAGACAAAAGATATTGCTCCACATCTACCAATTCTTTAAACTGAGTGAGGAACCATTTGTCAATGAAACTCAGCTCATATATCTCGTCCACTTTCATCCCCTTCTTCATTGCAGCATATATAGCATGGATGCGATCCGGGCTGGGGACTCTCAGACTGTATTTCAGCTGGTCCCAATCCCAATCAAGTTCTTTAACTTTTGCACAACCCCATCCAGAGTAGCCACATTCCAGTGATCGAACTGCCTTTTGAAAGGATTCTTGAAATGTGCGGCCTAGAGCCATGGATTCCCCAACAGATTTCATCTGGGTAGTCAGTATTGGCTGAGAACCAGGGAATTTCTCAAATGCAAACCGTGGGATCTGCATCATTCATGTAATAAGAAACTCATAAGCTGATAACATAAGTTCATATGCAAGTAAACAAATAGTGAATGCTAACTCAATCTTGGCACAGCGTCATTCCTATCAAAAAGGCAATTAAAATCACCAGAGAGAGATTCCAGCGACTTGTTCTTTCTATGATAATAAATCATCACATTGTAAATGCATATTTTATAAGCATTAAATTAACTAATCACAATACATTGTCAGTTTTTATAGTTGATAACCAATCTACTACTAGCTTATTCTTAACTAGGTTAAAAGCATAAAAAAAACATTCGAACAAACAAGTAAGAAGTTCTTACCTTAGTCACCACATAATCAATAGATGGCTCAAAACTAGCTGGAGTCTTCTTTGTAATATCATTAGGAATCTGATCCAACGAATACCCAACTGACAGCTTAGCTGCCATTTTTGCAATTGGAAAGCCTGTAGCTTTTGAAGCCAAAGCAGAACTCCTTGAAACCCTTGGATTCATCTCAATGACCATGACTTCACCATCAACAGGATTAACCGCAAATTGGACATTCGAACCTCCACACTCCACACCAATCTCCCTAATTATCGCAACACTATAATCCCTCAACCTCTGGTACTCCTTGTCAGTCAAGGTCTGTGCAGGCGCCACAGTAATTGAATCCCCTGTATGCACCCCCATTGGATCAATGTTCTCAATTGAACAAATGATCACAACGTTATCAGCCAAGTCCCTCATAACTTCCAACTCATATTCTTTCCATCCTAACAATGACTTCTCAACCAAAACTTGTGAAGTCAAGCTGGCAGCCAATCCCGCCTTGCAGATAGCCTCAAATTCTTCTTTATTGTAAGCTATCCCACCCCCTGTCCCTCCTAAAGTAAACGCGGGCCTAATGATCAATGGGAACTCCCCGATTTCATTAGCTATTTCGATACATTCATCTAGTGTATTCCCAATACCTGAAGGCGGGGTTTTAATACCAATATTTTTCATCGCTTGCTTGAACAAATCGCGATCCTCAGCCTTTTTAATGGCGTCCAGCTTTGCTCCTATTAATTCCACGCCGTATTTCTCTAAAACCCCGGACTCCGCCAACGCCACCGCGAGGTTTAAAGCTGTTTGGCCACCCATTGTGGGCAGGAGCGCGTCGGGACGTTCTTTCTCGAGGACTTGTTCGACTAATTCGGGCGTCATCGGAGTTACGTAAGTCCGATCCGCCATATCCGGGTCAGTCATGATGGTTGCCGGGTTCGAGTTTATCAAAACGACCTCGTACCCTTCCTCTCTTAACGCTTTGCAAGCTTGGGTTCCCGAATAATCGAATTCACAAGCTTGGCCAATGACAATTGGGCCGGCTCCGAGGATCATAATCTTTTTCAAATCCGTTCTTTTGCCCAGTTTGGGGGCCTTCTCGTCGGCGGCGGCGGCCGAATTTGCTTGGATTGGGACGCGTTTGGTTGCGGTGCGAGAGAAGCTGCGTTGCGGTGGCCATGAGCGGAGGTGGAATGCATTCCGTGGGCCTGTTTTGGGGTTGGGAGAGGGAGAGAAGAAAAATGGGAAGCTGAGGGATTTGGGTAGGAAAGGCTTGGAGAAAGAATAGAAATGGGAAGGGGAAGAAGTGAGGTTCTTGCAGCAGCTCATGATTGGGTTCTTCCGTTTCTCTTTTCCCTTTGGGTTGGCTGCTGCTGCTGTTGTTATTAGGCGTGAAGTGAGGGTGCAAAGAGGAAAGCGACAGAGAGAAAGATTTAACTAGGGTTTTTCATTATGGACATGTATGTACATCACTCTGTTTTTTGCTGCATGCTCAGCTCTGTCTGTATCCCAGTAATCTATAATTATTTCCCAAATAAAGGCCGATACTCAATATAAATAATTAATAATTAATGTATAATTAGATAAATATAATATAAAATTAAACCATAATAAGATTTGAATTTTAAAGTTGTACAATATCTCGCTTTTTTTATTTTTTTGTAATAAAGTTTTATTGATAAATGTAATAATTTTTAATGTAATTATTATATCAAATAGTGTATAATTAAATAAAATTTAAAATACAATTAAGATTATAGCGAGATTTGAATTTTACATTTTAAAATTTTAAAATCTCATTTTTTTGTTAAAATAAAATTTAATTGATAATTTAATAATATATTTTTAGATTAAAAATATGAATTTATGATAAAAAAATTAATTATAGGTTCGTGTTTGAATTTGCATAGCTAAGTCTTCCATATCAAATGCCCTTTTGCCGCCTCACGAGGTGCGTCCCCTCTTTCCTCCGATCATTTGCCTGGACTTTGTTTAGGTTGACTTGTTACGTGGCTAGTTTTGCTTTCCCTATCCCTTCAATATCTCCATCATTCTTATTCTATTAATTTTTATTTTTTTATTTCTTTTATTAAACAAAAGAGATTCAAAATTTGACATTTGGATTTAGAGATATAAATGGATTATTATTTTAAGGGTATTTGAGATTTTTAAAACTTGATATAAAATATCTCGATATAAATTCGGATAAGTTTTGAATTTTTTTTAAGATATTTTGATTTGAACTTAATTATATATAATATTACAAAACTTTAAAGGTAATGAGATTTAAATTTTTACTTTTTTTTATCTTAATTAATATTAGTATAAGGATTGATCTGGATTGAACACGTAAGAGGATGAGAAACATTTTAAGTTTTGTCAAATTTGCTAGCTATTTATTTCAATAAATATTGATAATATATTGTTAAATGGGTATTTAACGGGGTATCTAAATAAAAATATTTATCTTGTATTTAATTGTTTAGAATAATTAATGGATAGTTCTTTGATATTAATATTTAATTTTAAATAGTATTTTATAATTTTATGTAAATTTTAATAAAATTCGGATATTTTGATAGTCCAATTGGATATGTAAAAATAACAAATATGTTATTCATATATATCTTTATTTAAATTAAATAAAATACATATACTTATCATTAAACTGAATTCTCAATTTATATAAGTAAAACATGTATTATAAATTCTAATTATTGTAAGGAAAAAATGAGAGAAAATTTTTTTTTTTCATTTGATGCTCATCAGTCATCTATGTAATTATTTCTGGGAAGGACGACAGCCTTACCAAAGATGACGTGGGAAGATCAGAGGATTTACTGTATATTCCTCTTGAATGATGCCTACTGTCTGTGAATGTGGCTTATGATCTCATGTTTCTGCCAGCAAGAAATGAAAACAAGAGCTTTTATTGCTTTCACTTTTTTTTTATTTATTTTAAGATTTTAAATGATTGTAAATTGAACGGTGATTGTTCATGAAATCATATGCTGGTTTTGTCTTCGCCTGGCTGATTTTGTAAGTTAAGTTTATAGCTGATTGCTATTTCAAATCAGATTCTCTTGTAAATTATAAGACATCCTGTTTTGATCAATGAAAATCTTTACTTATTCAAAAAAAAAAATATTTCTGAGAAGGAACTTCAGTCTTACTCCCTGTTTTGCTAACAGAAAAACTATGCTAAGTTGCATTTTAATCCATAAAAAAAAGCAGTACTTTTTATGGTGATTGTCTATATTTTAATCCGAATAAGACAATGTGCCAGAGCAATACGGCATCATTAGTTAAACTAATCCATTATGAAATGAAATTAATCACAAGTGTCCACCGGCCATGCTAGCAGAGGCTTTTATTAATACTGAAGACTGGTTACATCTCTTCTACAGTTGATTTGAAAGGCAGAAGTAATGGCATGGACGAAGGAATACCTGGATTTTGTTTTGATCCCAACTGGGTTATTGATCATGTCAGCTTACCATGTCTTTCTTCTTTACAGATGCCTTAAACTCCCTCAAACCACTGTCATCGGCTATGAGAACCACTTCAGGAGAGCTTGGGTTGAGAGACTGTTGCAGGTGAGCCCCTATGTTCATCCCCCAGAAGGCCGAAATATAAACAAAGCCCAGCTTTGATTGTTCACCTGTAGTTATGATGATGAACATTTTTGCAGGTTGAGGCGAAGGATAGGGGTTTGGCGTTAACAACAATCAGCTCCACGATATCAGCAGCAACTTTCCTGGCAACAATATCTCTAGCTTTGAGTTCCCTTATTGGAACATGGGTTGCAGAATCTGCTCATAGTCTCTTCAGAAATAGTCTGATTTATGGCAATACAAGCTCATCAATCATTTCTGTCAAATACATCAGCCTTCTTATCTGCTTCCTGGCCGCTTTCGGTTCTTTTCTTCAATGTGTTAGCAACTTTGCCCATGCTAGTTTCCTCATCAGCATGCCCAATGCAGATATTCCAGTAAGTTATATCGAGAAGGCAGTGATAAGAGGAAGTGCTTGTTGGTCAGTCGGTTTACGAGCAATTTACTTTGCCACTACTTTGCTGATGTGGATTTTTGGTCCAATCCCAATGTTTGCGGCTTCAGTGATTATGGTGGTGAGTTTGCATAACCTTGACAGAAATGTAACCCCTTTGCATAAGTTCGAATCCGCCAAGTCCAACTCCCATAATCTGTTTACAAGGTCAATGAGGATTTAGCTGCAGTAGCAAGGGTTATTGAGAAACATGACAGATCAGATGCTAATTGAAGCAAACCTTGAGATGCACTATAGTGATGTTTCCTGAAAGAATATGAGCAAAGCAACCAGCATTGGGTCAGTAAGTTCAGAATCAACAAGGTAGGCTTGAAGCAGAAGACAGCAAAGAACAGTTGGTCACTCCATTCCCATCTTGAATGATTTCAGCAGAACTTCCAGCAATTCAAAGCAGCAGCATTTTGTACTTATGTCTAGGATCTTTTCATGGCTAGCCTGAATAAAATCATGTGCAACTGTTGCATTGATCCTCATATCTTAAGGATCCAAGTTCAGACCATCTTCCCATGCATGATTATAAACCAAATCCAAGTTTAGCCTCACTGTATCTTCTCTGATGTAACAGTGTTAACAATTTTCCATGATTTGACTGAACTTCGTTGTATAAATAAATCAAGCATCTTCCTTTGAAAGTAGGACTACATTGAATGTTTGGTCTTAATAGATTGAATGTTTGGTCTCAATGTCGGAAGACTTAAACCTATATATTAATATATAAAGTCCCTAGTTGAGTTGGTCCCAACCAAATTGGAGAGACAGACTGAACTGATTACAATTGAACAATCAAAGAATTATATGAAAATAAAGTATTCTACTGGAAAAGTAAAGATAAGATCCAACATGAGGATTGCTTTTAATGTGATATTTATCATTTTATAAAGCATTTTTTTCCCTCCTTTACATGTAGTTTTTCTTCATTTTTCCCCACACAGGTAGTGAGTGCTATAACAAGTAATCAATAAATAATAGTAAAGAATAATTGTGGACACTCATGTTCGTGAATAGAAAAATAGATGATAGGAAAGTGGTGCTTATAAAACTGAAGAGAACATAGTAAGAGAAACAGTGGGATTTGGATGGGCAAGTTGTTATCCTATTGTATATTAGTGTAGACATGGTAACCAAATAATTAAAATAATCCTTCCATGAAAGATGTAGGAAAAAGGAGAATTCAGGTAAAGCTGCAATATGCCAAGATTAAGAAAAGAGTTTGATAAACTTAGTTAAACAAGACACTATGACAGCTTTATCAGTTAAACAGACCCACTATAAAGTATAAACTCACATCCTACCAGAAGCTTATGAATAGTGAATCCTGGCAGACAAAGATAATGGTTTGGAAGGAATACTTGGATGATTTTTTTTATGTTTAATAATGCTTGATTTCTACGGCCATTTTCATGTACAAGCTTAGAATATATCTTCTTAAGGTCTATGTTGCAGACATCCACTTTGCTCCTTGAGTCTTCATTTGATTTTTTGAAATCCACCATAACAGCACCATCAAGTCCACCAACATCGGAGTGTAGCAGTTGAAATCTTTTTGTAGTTTGAATCAAACTACTTTTGGGAAATAGATATCTAGTCTGCTTTCCATGGAGACAAGTACCATAAACATCTTCTTGCTCAACTGGTATAGGGAAGTTCTTGTCCAAACCCGCAGGTGCCATATGCTTCATAGAAGTACAATCAACATGGAGGGGCCTCCTATGCCATAATTTGCCATCACTGGTTACACACTGATATGCCTTGTCTTCCATCTTTAACCAATCAAGTGGAAAACATTTGTTTTTTATTTGAACCGACAACTTAACACTAGAGGAGGAGTCACAGATTGTACACACTTTCTCTTTGAATAGCAAAGTATAATTTTCTTCAACAAATTGACCAATACTGAACAGGTTTTGATTAGTTTCAAGCACATAATGAATGTTTGAAATAGATTTAATACCTGAGGGAGTTTGCACTCCAACTGTCCTATGCCTTAGAATTTTAAGATATTCACCATTATCAATCTCCACTTGAGACTTGTAATTCTCGTTCAAGAAAATAAAATTATTTGCATTTCCTGTCACATGATTGGAACACGCATTGTCAATAAGCCAAACACTAGAGCTTTTTGACCTCTCGGGTTTCTTGGCCATGAATAACACCTCCTCATTTGCCTCATGTTCCTCCGCTATAGCAACTTTTTCTTCTTTTCGATCGATTTTATTTTTGCAAACTTTCTTCACGTGACCAAGCTGGTTACAAGACTTGCATTTAACATGGTCTATACCAACAAAACCACTTAGTATGGTTTCATTTTTTATAGTAAGAATAAGGAGAGTATTGAGCCTTTTGCTTATCCTGTTTCTTATCACCATTTTTCTTTTCACTTGCACATGCTAGTATTTATCAGTTTTGTCATGGTCAATGGGACATATCCTTAAAGTCCTCCAGAGAAGATATTTTGGTCTCAAATTTCTCAAGAGAGGCTAACAAGAAATTTATTGACTATACTTCTCTCTAGTAAATTGTCTCCAAGTAATCTCAATTGATTGACTACTTTCAAAACCTTCTTTAAGTAGTCTTTCACACTTTCCTGATCTTTCATCTTCAATAATTGAAACTTTCTAAGTAGATTTAGGATTTGCATTTGACGGGTTCTACCACTGTCATGAAATTTAACCTTCAACTTATCTCATGCTTTTTTGGCATACTCAAAATTCATTATATGAATAAAAATTGAATCAAAAACAACATAATGGATACGGGATAAAGCTTTATACCTTTTCGTAATTTTTTTGTTACACTGCTTTAATTGTACGATTGTTTGATTTGATTGCCTCATCTCATGAGGATTTCCACCAACTTCAACTATTTCCTAAACATCGAACACACAAAGATACGTTTTCATTTTTTACCACCCATATTGGGTAGTTTTTTTCTGTAAAAACGAATGGAGCAGTGGTATTGAAATTTGCAAAAGCTATTTTTTTGGTATTTCAAAGATGAACAGTAAAAGGTAAGAAAAAAAAACTAATGAGAATTTTTTTTAAGTGATTTCACATTAACACAGTCTCTTAAGATAACCACTTTTGATACCATGTTAAAACTTTAAGTATTGTTAAAAGAAAGTCCAAAAAACTAGAAAAAAAAAAATCTATACATGGAAGAAGATAACAACTACCTTAAAGTTCTTGGTAATTTAGATACAAATAGTTAACAAAAGAAAATAGAAAGCAATAACGTGACAACCACTTAAGCACTAAACGTGCTGTAGATAGTTCTTTTAAGAAAAAAAAAAACTAAAAGCAACTATTAACCAATAAGTTAGTCGCATCATGTGAAAGTTTGTGCCTCCTTCTAGCCCCATGTTCTGCAACTTCATACCTCAATTTCAACAAAGTTTAAGTGGGACTGAATCACAGCTATTGGATTTGAAGAAAAGAAAATGGAAATTGACCAAAGTCGAAAATGGCGTTTATTTAGTAAACAAATATCTGCAGCAGTTATGAAGTGTATCACGTTTTAGGATCAACAACATCAAACAAAACTTTTCACACTATGTGGGGTCTGCTACTAGGATTATAATATGCCATTGCTCTTTTCTAGGTGTCCTGTGTCCTGAAAGTTGCAGTTGGTAACCATAAGGTAATAACTTCCTGGATGATTGAATTGCATACATGTAAACAAAAGAAGGCTGTGAATATGGAACAGCATAGCTATCAAGATAGGAAGGTCATATATATGAAACATTGTGACCGACATTTACATTTCCTCTTTGAAGATGAGTTAAAAGTACAGAAGCCTATTCCTTCCACTACACTGTTGATTATCTCTACCACTACTGTTTATCATCTGGACTCTGATCCTCCCTGCTACTGGTCAATTCAGTCCCATCTACAGTATTTTCTGCCACTGAACTTACTGAGCCTCGATTCTTCTCACCTGGACTTTCATTTTCTTTAGTTGTGGAATCTTCCATGAATGAATTTATAGCAAGTTGACCAGAATAAAGAAATAACCCAATAGAATTGATGCCGAAAACAAATGTTGCAAGGTAGCACAATCCGTTCACAATAGTCCTGCAAACAAGAATATAAGGGATGAGCACAACAAAGGTTCACAGCTAGGAGCGCGAAATGAAGTACTAATGGAAGTTACCTGATAGTTATTGTTATCTGACGAACCTGCATAGGATAAAGATGAAAAATGTTTGAGAAAAATATGACACTGTTCAAGTAACTACCCTCTAAAACAGGAAAGGGCACCATGTACCATGTAAAAGATTTTGTACGAGGTCTTCTATGGACGGTACTGATTAATTATCAAAACACAAAATCCTTGAGATTTTCTACCATGAATATCATTTTCCTACAAGGCATGATGAAGAGTGTGCAGTGCATGCGTTGAATGCTCCTAGGGGCTTTCTAACTAACTTCTCTTATCTAACTTTAAGTGCTTAAAAATAGGACTAAGATGTTAATTTGTCCTAACACTATACATCCAAAGAGGAGGTAGCAGCCGCAACCCCATGTCTGCCAACATACATGCATGAAAAGAAGCCAGGTATGTTTTAGGGTAACCACTCACAAAATGCAAGATTTAATGCAGGCACAGTTAAGGGCAATGAAAGGACAAACCGAGAAATTATCAGAAACTGTTTGGCGGTTAAGAGCTGCCTCAATCGTAAGGGTGAACTTATAAAGAATAAGGGCAATGACACCCGCAGCTATGCTACCCAAAAGTGCCTGAACTGGTGAGGGTGGGGATGGCTTGGTTTCAATTGCAGCTGACCCCATTGCTTTCAAGTTGTCTAGCGCCTCTTCCTTCAATGATTTCTTTGACCCTGCTGACCTCAATCTCTAAAGACAGCAAAACTCTGTTCTTTAATATCCAACACAAGTCATAATAAGACATTTAAGAAAATGAAAAACTCCCAGAGAATTACCTTCTCTTTCAATTAAATTTAAGTTACCATGGAACAAGATGCCACAGCACAGAACTAAATCAGAGGAATAAAACAACATATACTTTGGTCCAAAATCGAGAAAAATAACTAAAACATTAGCAACGAAGTAAAGTTGGTGAAAACATAGGAAGGCCTAGATTTAATTGAAGATATTGATATGAGTGAATAACAAAAACTCCATTTCATTGTTAGTTTTACTACTTGCTTTTCACTAAATTGCGGTTGGTTATAAAAACCAATAACATTTTTAACAAATTAAAAAATATACACTTTGTCACAGAAAACTTACATGGTTCTTATTTCCTAAGACAATGAGGAACAATTATGTTTCAATATGATTCTAATCATTTGCTCACTTCTGATCAAACATAATTTTTCTTTTAAGTAACCATTTTAGAAATAAAAAATGCCAAATATAACAAAAGCAACAAACCGAACAGAACACTGCAACCCAATATCAGTAAAGTTTTAAGTTTCAATGGGAGATAAGTTAAAACTTAAAACCCAATCCATGTATTCTAGAAAATGAAAACCCAATTCACCAGTATCAAAATTTGACACTAGCACTAACTCAGAATCTTTTGTTTGCAGCTAACTCCATACTCACCAGCTCTTTAGCACGCTTAGCACGGCGTCTAAGGGACCGAAACAGGAAAACCCCAATGGCACCAGTGAGCAAAACGCTGGTGGCGGTTTGGAGAGGAGAGGGGTCATCGTTTGTAGCAAAGATTGATGTAGAAGAAGCAGATGGTGGCAGCTCAAAGGGACCCTCTTCTTCTTCTTCTTCTGCTTCTGCTTCTGCAATGGTGGTGATGGGTTCTTGAGATTGGGCTAACAACCGGCCCAGGTGGGCTTTGGAGTGGGCAGAGAAAGGGGAGAGGGAAATGGGTTTTTGGAGGAAGAAGAGTTGGGAATATGGATTGGTGGTGGTGAGGGGAGGGAGAGAGAGAGGGAAAGGGGAGGAAAGGAG